TTTACATAAGATATCGTTGTGCTTATCACAGAGTACTACATTTGAGAGCAACAGTAAAAGTTGATGTTATTGAGAACTGCTGATTAAAGTTGACTGATTTTACTACAATTAAATCTCAAAATTTAGGTCTTATAAAAAAAAAAAGAGAAAAGCTGCAAAAAGCACAATTAAATATAAAATATATTTGTATTTTTTTACTTTTGTAGACTTTATAATTTATTCTGAAGCAGAGCAGATTATTGACTTGAATTCTGAATTACCTATCCATCATACTTTTTTTTTTGCTAGACACTTTTAGATATTACTGTAGAACGGCAGACAACTAATATAAATTGTTAAATAAATGTATTCAAAAAAAGACAAATAATAATAATAATAATTGCAATTTTTTAAATAACAAAACTAATTTATAAAGCTGTAAATTGATAGATTATATTGCCAACTTTAGAAGACTACAGGAAGTGAAAAAAAAATGATGCTAATTTAGAGTCTGATCTTTGATCTTTTACAGCTATCCAAAAAACTAAAGGATCTTTTCAAAAACATCAGTGCTAAGTAAAGCTTCGTTTAAAAAAAACTTAAAACATATACTAAAACAAATTTTTCAAAAAAAAAAAGAAAGAGACTTTTACAATTTATTTATTGCTAAAAACAAATATTTACATTTTCTTTTTATTTGAAGTGATATACAATTGACAAATGTGACTGATGTTTGGTTACTTTTAGAAAGTTATTCATCACCAATGGGTTGTGGTCCAAAGCCGTTCTGTACAGTAAGTGTTTAATTTCTTTTTTGCTTTTTTTTTTCGTATTAAATCTTTTATACAAAAAAAAAGAGAAGAAAATAAATAAAGAAAATTTGTTATATTTAATATAGCAAAAATAGCTGTTGGTATTCTATGATGAACTGATGCTGTTTTTTTTTTTTAGAGCACCAGGTTTGTCAACTAAAACAACTTAATTTTTAGACACAAGGAAAAAGCTTTTTTTTTTTGCTTAAACTTCTCTTCTGTTTTTATTTAAAGAAAATAATAATAGAAAATAAATCTTTTTTTTTTTCCCGCAACAGAGGTGAGAATTTTTCAAAGATTTTTTTTTAATCTGCTTTAAGCTGTCGCGTTGATGTTTTTTTTCTTCTTAACTAAGCCCCTTTGTCGACGAATAAGCCATACAATTGAAAATTTGTTAGATAAAAAAAAAAGAAAAGGTAGACGATAAGTAAATTACATTTACTGTTTACGTCATTGTTAAAAAAAAAATTTAAAAAAAAAATGTACGACTAAATAAAATTAGGTTTAAAAAATAATGGTTTATGCTGTTTATCGGTCCCAAATAATCGTTTGCAGCCAAACTGTTCTTAGGGCAACAGTACCACTTTTGTTTCCTTTATAGACATCAGTTTTTTTTGTTTTTTTTTGCCGTTTATTTAATGAATAATTTTTTTTTTGTTTTGTTCTTAAAAATAAAAAAATAATTACAGTTTTTTGATGCTTTATGAAAAGAATATATATTCAATTGACAAATTGATTTAAACGAAAAAAATTACAATATAAAAAAAGCTTATTTATCCATATACTCCTAATATCTGCTAATCAGTTTCCTTTCTTCTTTTGTTTTTTGTCTGCAACTAAAAGTGTTACAAATGTTTTGAACTTTTTCTGATGTTAAAGTAGTCAGTTAATTCTTAAATTATAGTTATAATATTGAAAAAAGTGAAAGAGAAAACAGAAAATGAAAAATGCTAATAGGGTAACAAATATTTGGGTACATAAAGTTTTTATTTGAAGAGCAAAAAAGAATGAAAGGCAGAAACTGAATTTGTTAACTTCAGATGCAAACAGTTTCTTGTTTTTTTGACTACCTTCTTGCTGTAGATCTGCTGAAGACAGGCAAAGCAGGTAGGAATCATGCAAATCTGTTTGGATGTTTAGTAATTTCAGATGCGTGGTATAATTGTTGTGGCATATCGGGATGGAAAAGCTGAAGTGATGTGTTGCAACAAAGCCTTATGCAATTCCGGGAACAACACCAAATACAGTCATCATAACAGTTTCCTGTACTGTACAATCATTTTTATTGTCGGCTTTTTATCCATATCTATTTGAAACATAAAATCGTTATTTCAACTGAAAACAATCTGATAGAAAACAGTAGAAAAAAGAAAAATGAACCAAAACTAATTTGTATATAATTTAACGCCTTATTATTCTGTATGTAAACATACTGTATCAGAAAAAAAAAATCATCAAAAACAGCTGTTTTTTTCTTCTCTCAAATGTTTCGACTACAAAAATTTGACAACAAAAAATACAATGCGCAGAAATTACAGAAAAGAAAAGAAGAAAAATTTTTATGATTATTTTTACTGCATTTTATTGACTTCAAAATTAAT